CCGGCCCCGCTGGCTCGACCGCCGGGGCTGCCACCGGCTCGGCGGGGAGGTGGCACACCCAGATGCTGTCGCCGTGCCAGGCTGCCAGCCCCGGAGCCGGCCGAACCGCTTCCCCCGGCTGCTTCTTGCAAAAGCAGGTGAGGCAAGAGCCCAGCCCGGCTCCCAGCGCCGCTGCAGGAAATTCCCAGCGGGATCCAAACCTGCTCGTGCCACAGCAGCGGTGTGCCAGCCCAGGAGAGCCCCGAGAGCGGGGAGCAGCCCCCGGACCCTCGCGGGGCTGGGGATGGGCGCTCCCCGCGCTCCGGCGGCACAAACCGGGGTCCCGCTGTCGCTCAGGTGCCTGACATGAACTGGAGGGTCCCGACTCCCAGGCGGGCTTGGCTGGGCACCAGCGTCCCGAATTCGAGATCCGCCAGGCCCGGCCCTTTCCAGAAACCTGTCTGGCTGCTGCTTTGCATTCCCGATTTCCCAGACCCGCTGGGAAAATCGCCCTCGCCTGCAGCTGCCAGCGGTGCCGCGCTCCCTTCCCGTGTGAGACACGGGATGGGCGCTGCCATGGGATGGAGGCTCCCGGCTGGGGCAGGAGCAGCTCTGGGCCACTGGAAAGAGGCTCCTGGAGCCACGGGCAGGCTGGCAGCAGCCCCGTGCCCACCTCGGGCAGGCTGGCAGTAGCCCCGTGCCCACCCCGGGCAGCCCCAGCCGGCAGGGTGGCGGTGTTGGGGTCCCTCCGGTGCCGGTGCCCGCCTGGGCAGCGCGGAGATGCCGTGGAGGTGACGCAGGGGTGACAGGAGGTGTGACAACCCCTGGGGACCCGCAGGGTCACTGAGTCACTGCGCTGTCAGACAGTGCCCGAGGGATGAGAGCCGGTGGCTTTTGCAAGCCCGGAGTGTCCCGGGAGCAGCCCAAGGCTCGGGGTGAGGGGCTGTGGTCAGGAGTTGAGCTCCGATCCCTGTGGGTCCTTCCAGCTCAGGATATTCCATGATTTTATGGCTCCCTTCAGCTCATGGGCTGGATCCTGCCAGGGATGGCAAGGACAGGGGATGTCCTGATGGTCCCACAGGCACAGATTTTGGATCTGATCCTCTCTGTCCCATTCCGCTGCACATCCCAGAGTTTCTGGCATGGAATGGGCAGAGCTGTCCTGCTTGGAGAAATCTTCCAGCATCCCAAAAAACATCACCACAGCTCCAGGAGGGCACAGGAGCTCCGGAGTGGCCGCCAGTGCTTGGCCAGGTCCCCAGTGGGGTCTGGGGTTGCATTTTTGGCTCAGGTGTGACCCAGCCATTCCCTGTGTTCCAGGGAAAAAAAAAAGGGATCAAAGTTTCTGGGCGCCGCTTTCTCCGCTTTTTTTTTGGGCCGCTCCAGGCTGCCATTGAAGATGGGAGGACTTTCATGTGGGGATTTCTCTCCTTCAGATCTTCAAAGAAATCCAGCAATCAAACAGGTGGTTGTGGAGGAACCTTAAAAAAAAAAAAAAAAACAAAAAAAAAAAACAAAAAAAAAAAAAAAAAAAGAAAAAGAAAAAAAAAACCACTTTGAAAGAATCAGAGGCAAAGAAACACCTCAACTTTGTTGTGTTAATTGTTCCGGCACTCAAAGTTCTGACAAAATGTCTCAGAAATATCCCTGGCTCTGGGCCCACGATGTGTCACACACACAAAAAAGGCTCCGACACAAAACCCGAGGAAGGGAAAACCGACAGCGGGAGATTCCGACAGGAAGGAACAATCCCAAGGTTCCACAGAAGGAGCTCGGCCAGAGGGGAGGTGACACCCGAGCTCTGGAGCTCCAGGGGCATCCCTGAGCTGCTCTGGGCCTCATTAAGAGCCAGCGGTTAATGAGAGCTGCCTGTGGCCCTTCATCCATCCCTTCCCAGCGGTTCTGGGAGGCTCCAGCGGGATCCAGCCCCATCCCCGCGCTGCATTCCCGACACCAGCGGTGGATTTGGCCCCAGGCTGTCCCTGGGGTCAACCCCGGCTCCCCTGGAACCCCCAATCCCAAAGAAGGGCTCGTGGATCCGGAATTCCGGGCACAAGCCCGGGCAGGAGCCGGAGCCGGGGGTGACTCAGGGCCCCCGGGGCTGGGGGAGCGTCCAGAGCTCCGGGAAATCCCGCCGGGACCTGCCGGGAATGCGGCTGGAGCCGCTGTCCCAGCCACATCACGGCTGCTCCCATCCCCAAATTCCCTTTTCCTCCTTTTTCACGGCGCTGTCGCCGCTCGGGGGGGATGTGGATCCCAAAGCAGCCCCCGGGTGAGGGGGGATCCAAGCCTGGCGTGACCCAGAGAGGCACAGACACACCACCCACCCCAGCATCCCCATTAAAAACCGTCGGGAATGGCCAATTCCCATGGCTGGAAGTGCCTACACCTGTCCTTTGGCCATGGCTGCATTCCCAAACCCCGGGATGCAGCAGTGGGAATCACCGGTTTCCCCCAGGACCAGCGGGAGAAGGATCCAGGCTGGATAATCCCTTGGGATAGAGGCCAGGGAAGTTTGGATCAGGATCATAAACCCACAGGACAACCCGCGGTGCTCCGAGCCCTCCAGGACAATTCACCTCCGGCTGTTTCTCCCTGATTCCCTGTTCCCCGACCCCGCTCCCACACCCTGCTGAGCAGCAAACGCAGCGCTTGGGGCTGAAGTCACCCCCCAAAAATGACATTTTCTCATCAAAACGCGGCTGAGGTCATTTCCAGCCGCCCCAAACCCCCGCGGGGCCGGGCAGGGCGGGGTGGGGGCTGCGGGAATTGTCAATCCTGGGGATGAAAGGGCTGGATGGATAAAAGAGCCGCGAATAATGGTGGGGGGCTGAGAGGGGGGCTCAGAGGCAGCGGAAATCAAGGCTGGGATGAAAGGAGCGTTTCCAGGAGCTGGCGGGGGAATTCCGGGAGCTCAGGGATGGGGGGCGGTCACTGCGGTGCCCTCGGGCTGTCACCGCCTCATCCGAGGGCATTTCCCAGCTTTCCCATGGCCCGGGAGAAGGTGGGAAGGGACTCGGAGGAGATGCCACAGCTCAGGCTTGGGCTGAGCTGCCCACGACACGGCGACACGGGGCGGGGTGGGCTCCGCACACCCACGGCTCCGGAGTGGCCACCAGGGCTCGGCTAACCCGGTCCCAGTGGGGTCTGGGGTGGCTCAGATGTGACCCAGCCAGGAGCAGACACATCACCCACCCCAACATTCCCATTAAAAATCTTTGGGAATGCCCGGCTGCCAGGCCTGAATTCCCTACACCTGTCCTTTGGTAGCTGCGGTCCCAAAATCTGGGATGCAGCGCCAGAGCTGCCGCGGCTCCAAAAACAGCACGAGGGGAGGTTTTCCTGTAAATCCTGGATGAAACGGGGCTGCAGCATCCCAAAATGCTCCAACACCAAATCCGAAGAGAATCCCATCCCATTCCATCCCGTGGATCCCATCCCATCCCATTCCATCCCATGGATCCCACCCCATGGATCCCATCCCATCCCACCCAGGGCACCGGGACTTTGCCCAGGCTCAGCCCGTTCGCCCTCAGAGCAGATTTAAGCGCTCCGGAGTTTCTCAAAGGCTCGGGAAGCACGCGGGGAATGCGCGGCGGGGGCCGAGCGCGGTGACCCGAGCCCGGTGGGACAAGGGGTGGCATTCCGGGCACGGCCCTGCCACCCTGGCCGTGCTGGAGGGGAGGGGGAGGCTCCGGTTAACCCGCCTGGAAACGGGTTAAGAGGGTGAAGGGAAAGGGGGGAGAGGCAGCTCCAGCCACCAAAACCCGGGAATATTCCCCAAATCCAAACCCACGGGGGTTCAGGGATGTGGGAGGGGTTTGGGAGCGGGGTTGGGACAGGGGGGCTGCTCGTGGTGGGGAGAGAAGGGATCCTGATCCCCCACTGTCCTTCTTCCCTAAATTTTGTACTGTGCTTGTCCAGCAGCTGCTCAGCCTTAAAACCCAGATTTCCCTCTCCAGAGCCCCCACATCAGCGATGTGCCCAGCCCCAGTTCAGCACCAGTTAAACCCAGTTTGAGGAGGGGCTGAGCACACGGAGGTGTCTGAGCTGACCCACAGGGACAGGGACAGCGACACCAGCCAGGCCCAGGCAGCCCCTCCCTCACCCCCAGCAATCAAGATGACAACTCCGCTTTACCATTTGCTTTTAATTTAATGGTTTTTCTCCAGCCCGGGCTGCAGGAAGGAGGGAGAACACAACACGAGCACACGTGGCAATAGTGCAAGGGAGCCGTGTGACACGAGGACACAGCCACCTCCCCAAAAACACCCCTCTGTGGAGCCAGACACGTCCCGTGCTGCTGCCCTCCACACCAGCCTGGGCAACGGCAATAAATCAATAAATAAAGACACGGTGCCTCACCAAAGGCACCTTTTTCTTCTTCTTTTTTTTTTTTCTTCTTTTTTTTTTTTTTTTTTTTTTTTTTGTTTGTTTTTTTTTCAACACAACAATGAGAGATGTTGGCATCACAGCATTTCCCAGCCCGGGCTTTTGGCCACATCCAGTTTCTCAGCACTCAGGACAAGGCAGAGCCGTGGCCTGGGTGCCCCCAGCACCTCCTAAAAGCCCACGGGCAGCACCTTGGAGCCCTCGCCAGCACCCTGCTACATCTGCAGCTTGTTTGAGGTATATCACCCACCCCCTCCGTTACTTTGTGCAGCCAAAAAAACAGTGCAAAGAAAACAAAAATCCCACCCTCCCCAAGCCATTGCTTTCACCCCCGTGATGAGATGAGTTTGAGAGGGAAGGAGCCCCCGGGACCCCCCAGCCCCTCTTCGGGGGTCACTTTGGGGGGTTTGGTCCATTCAATGTCCTGTCCTGGGGCATCCCCCGGGCCCGAGGCTGCCAAATAAATCCGTGGGATGTGGATCAGCAGCACCGGCAGCCCCGGGCAAGGAAGGATGGAAGGGAGGGAGGCTCAGCCCCATCCCCAAAATGCACCAAGCCGGGGGAGAGCCCCGCGGGGAGGGAAGCGGGCTGGGCTCGGCTCAGCTCAGCTCAGCTCAGCTCAGCTCAGCTCAGCTCAGCTTCACCCCGACGGTCACAGCACGCCGGTAGAGCTCGGTGCCATTGTCACAGCTCGCCAGGGACGCGCTGCTCTCCGCCAAGGGGCTGCGGCAGTGAGTGACAGTCCAGCGGCGCAGCCGCCGCCCTTCCTCCCGCTCCTCCTCCTCCTCCAGCCGCAGGAGGCTCTCGGCGGACACGCAGCCCCGCACGGCCCCGCTGCCGGGGGGGCCTCGGGAGGGCAGGTCCAGCTGCTCGAAGGACTCGGTGGACAGGATGCTGTCCTCGCTGACGGCGCTGGCGGGCCGGGCGCGGGGTCCCGGGGGCAGGGACACCTCGCTGAAACCCCCGAAGCTCCCGGGGGGGTTCTCCGGGGGCAGGGACACCTCGCTGAAACCCCCGTAGCTCCCAGGGGAGTTTCCCGGCTCGGAGCTGCCCGAGGAGAATTTGCCGTTGTGTTTGAGGATTCCTTTCCTGCGGGCCGGGAGCCCCTGGGGAGGCGGGGAGGGCGGCTCGACAAACACGGTCCCGTCCAGGTCCAAACTCGCCGCGTCCAGCACATCCCCGGACTCGCAGCACTCCAGGGACGAGTAATAACCCGACTCCCTGGCCGAGGGCTTCTTCAGGATTCCCTTCTTGGGCACGGCCGCGGGCGCTGCTCCCGCTGCTGCAGAAATCCGGGGCAGCCCCGCGGGGACCCCCTCCCCATCCTCGGCCGGCGGGGGGCCAGGGCCGGGCACCTTCTGCTCGCACGAGTTCCTCTTCTTCAGGATGCCCTTGGGCCGCTTGAGGATGGACTTGGAAGGGTTCTCGGGGCCCGCGGGCACCTCCTGCAGCGCCTGCGAGACGTCGTTCTCCTTCTTGGACTTCTTGAGGGAGCGCTGCCGCTCCAGGGCCACGCCGGGGATGTGCTGCTTGAGGAAGCAGCGCACCTTGGAGCCGTTCTCCAGCAGGGGCCGGGACGAGCGGCGCAGCCACTCGGCCACCGTGGCCAGCGGGGATTCGCTCTCCCGCAGCAGCTCCTGCTCGCCCAGCGGTATTTTGTAGCCCCAGTTGACCCACCAGTGCGTGGCGATGTCCTCGATGGTGGCCCGGCGCTCGGGGTTCACCATCAGCATCCACCGGATGAGCCCGCAGGCATCTGGGGAAAGGACAGGTCAGGCACGGGAGGGGACAAGGGGGTGGGGGGGACACACAGGGGGACGGGGGTGTCCCTACCTGAGAGCGGGGGGGGGGGGGGGACACACAGGGGGACGGGGGTGTCCCTACCTGAGAGCTTCGTGGGCTCCCGGTAGTCTCCACTCGTGATCTGCTTGACCAGAGTTTTGTAGTCGTGGCCATCGAAGGGCATCGTGCCGTGGACCAGGATGTAGAGGAGGACACCCAAGGACCAGCTGTCCACCTGTGACAGGGACAGAGGAGCCTGGAGGGGACAGCAGGACCGGGCTGTCCTGGTCCCCACCCCGCCAGAGTCTCATCGGGACTCCCTGCATGGCAGCAACCACAGGGAAGGGACAGAGTGTGGGGCAGGACCCCAGCACATCCCACAGTGCCCGGGCTCAGGGGTATTTTATCCCAAAATACCCTGGGAAAACCCCAGAGCGATTCCCACAGCCTGGAGGGAGGCACAACCCACCTCGGGGCCCTTGTAGGGCCGCCCGTTGATGATCTCGGGGGACGCGTACAGGGGGCTGCCACAGTAGGTCTGCAGCAGCTTGTCCTGCTGGAAAACGTTGGACAGCCCAAAATCTGCAATCTGAGGGGACAAACAAAGCTGTCATCCACTGGCAATGTCCCTTTTCCCAAAGTCCCCCTTCCCAAGTTTCTCAAGGTTGAAAGTTCCCCTGGAGCTCTCCAGGGATGAACCTGGTCCAAACCAGGCCTGCTCTTGGTTCTGAATCCCCTCAGGTGGCACCACCAGCCTGGTTTTCCATCCCTGAGGTCGCTCCTGCTGCTCTCTGCCTCCCGAAATCCTCATCCCAGGCACAGGGATGCTGCCCTGTGGCCCGGGTGAGGCTGGAAGCACTTCCAGGCTTTCCTCCAGCTCATTGCCAGCCACCCCGGGCTGCAGCGGTCCCTATCAGCTCCACCTTGCACAAGTGCTCATTATCCTCATTACAGCTGTCACACGAGCTTCTGTGGCTGCCCGCGAGCTCCCAATTGCAAAATTATCCCCGGTGGAGATAAATCCCGCAGCCCGTTCTCAGTGACCGCGGGGATCCCTGGCTGTGCCCTTCCTCCCTGGCAGAAAACACACTCAGGGCTCGTGGGGGAGCTGGGAATTCCTGGCTGGCACGTACACAAACCAGGAAAAGAGCCCTGCTCATGCAGCCAGTGTTGATCTGGGTGCTCAGACTTTGCCCTCTTATCAGCAGGCTGATATCACTTATGGCTTTACCAGGTTTGCTCAGGCGCCAGGCTCTGCCAGCTCTCCTGGGCAAAACAGAATCCCAGGATTTTCAGATTCCCAGAGCTCTGGGAATCACGTGCCCTGAGGGGACTGAGGTGTTGTGGTCACCCCCTGTCCCTCCAGCTCGCCCTGGGTGACACCCCAGCCCCTCACCTTGATGTTCCCGTTGGCGTCCAGCAGGATGTTCTCCAGCTTCAGGTCCCGGTGGACGATCCCGTTCTGCGGGAAGAGCCGGGGTTAACTCGCGGCGGGATTGAGGGAGGGCAGGTCCGGCAGGCCGGGAGGTCACAGCCGGGCAGGGCAGAGGAGCCACAAACAGCGCGGGTGTGGCCCCGGGCATGGTGACCCGGGTGTGGCCTCGGGCATGGTGACCCAGCCCCCGTGGCACCAGCTTGGCAGCAGGAGCAGGGAGGTGACAGCGCCAGGAGCAGGGAGGTGACGGCACCAAGAGCAGGGAGGTGACGGCACCAGGTGTCACCCTGGGCTCCTCCATTGTCCCCAGCCATGGCAGCACGTGGTGCCAGCCCCACCAGGGCACAGCTCCTGCTTGGCCAGGCCCTGCTGTGCCCAGCTGAGCGAGCCCCCGGCCTGCTTTGGGGACAGGAGCTGCTCTGCCACCCCCTGCTCCCACCCAGGGCTGGGACACAGCCTTGGGGCATCCTCTGGGGACACCCTCGGGCTGGAGGGTCCTGTCAGGGCACATCCCACAGCCCCAGGGAGGTCCTGCAGCTTCACATTCCCTTCAAGAACAGAACAGGTGAGCCAGGATTTGGCTTCCAGCCCTGCGGGCAGCCCTGGGCGTGTCCGTCTGGTCGAGTGGGAGGGGAGGTGACAACTCCCAGGCCGGGTTAGTCACCCCCCCACCGCAGCAGCCGAGGCCAAGGCCTCCCAAAAGCTGCCAGGGCGCTGCCACACCCTTCAGACTAAAGGCAGGACCAAACCCTTCTGCTGGGAAAGGTGAAGAGCCACGAGCTCCTCTCACCTCCCGTGGGGCTGCACCCCTCCCCACCCGCTCTGCTGCAGGGAGGGGCACTCAGGAGAGCACCCAGCCACTCTCCATCGGGAAATCCTCGGGAGGAGCACTCAGGAGCCCACCCAGCCACTCTCCATCGGGAAATCCTCGGGAGGAGCACTCAGGAGCCCACCCAGCCACTCTCCACCGGGAAATCCTCGGGAAAGCCCCGGGAATCGCGGTGCCAGCCCACCTTGTGGCAGTAGTAGACGGCGGACACGACCTGGCGGAAGAAGTGTCGCGCCTCCTGCTCCGAGAGCCGCTGCCGCTCGCTGATGTAATCGTACAAGTCGCCCTTGCTGGCGTATTCCATCACGATGACGATCTTGCCGCTGTTCTCAAACACTGCGGGCACGGGAAAGGGTTAAAAGGGATCCTCGGGGCTGCGGGGATTCTCATTAGAGGATTGCTGTTAATGAGCAGGTGAAGCCTCGGTTGAACTTAAGGCTGCCCACCCCAATCGCTGCCCGCAGTCTTGGGCTGAACAGGGACCTGCAGGTCGGGGGGGCCACCAGAGCTGTCACCCACATCCCCCAGTGCCACCAGAGCTGTCACTCACACCCCCGGTGCCAACAGGGCTGCTGGCCCAGCGGCTCTGCCACCACCGAGGCCGTGCCACCACCGGCTGTGCCACCATCAAGGCTGTGCCATCAGTGATTGTGCCACCACAGTGGCTGTGTCACCACAGCAGTGGCTATGCCCTCAGTGGCTGTGTCACCACAGTGGCTGTGCCATCACCGGCTGTGCCACCACCGCAGTGACTCAGGCATGTGGCTCTGTGCTGGAACCCCTCGCCAAGGGGAAGGTGACAGCGCTGGCACAGCCGGTGACCTTCCTGCCTGTTCCCAGTGCTCCCAAAAAAGGCTCTGGCTGGAGCCAAGAGCCGGAGCGTTTTCTTCCTGTTTGCAAAAAGCACCTCGGTATTTTTGAATTCCAGCCGCCGGTGTGAGTCAGCGCTCGCAAACAGCGCGGAGGAGCTGCCAGCGCTCTCGCCTTTGTTTGCAGCACAAAAGGGCTCCGGATCCCGCACAAGCGCCGGGAGCAGGGGCAGAGCCAGCCCGAGGAAGGGCAGGGGCACAGCAGGGCCCAAGGACTCGGTGTCTGCTAAGCCTGACCCAGCTGCGGATTTGGGCTGAGTTTGGTTCCGCTTGCAGAAATTTCGCTCGGGTTATCTCAACCCTACCCGGCAGCAAAACCCAGCCCTGGCCATAAAGCCCAGCCCGGCAGCACCAGGAACTCTCCCAGCACGCTGTGGTTTGGTTTTCCAGTGCCCCAGGGAATGAGGAGGACTCCAGGACTGAGATTAAATCCCGCCTCGGGCTCAGAACAGATCCAAGGATATCCCAGGTTCTCCGGGATGAGCGCCCGGCACAGCCACGCTCAGGCCCAGCAGAGCTCGGCCTTCCTCCACAGCCCCACTGCGGCTCCCAGCTTCCAAAATCCACATTTGGGGCTGGATCCTCTGTCTGGGAGGGAGGGAATGGGACAGGAAGGATATTTCTGGAGCAGGGATTTCCCCTCTCAACCCGGGGGCATCTGCATTCCGTGTGAGAGACCAGGAACGGGAGCCAGGTCCTGGAAGGGAGGAGAGGGCCGGGCCAAACCCACCCAGCAGGACCAAACCCAGCCCATTCCCGAGGCTCCGATCATGGATGCAGCTGGAAAAGGGAAGGGAAAGGAGAGGAGGCCTCACCTTCGTGCACAGCGATGATGTGGGGGTGGTTGAGGGAGGACATGATCTCGATCTCCCTCCGGATGTGGACAAGGTCCTGCTCATCCTTGATTTTGTCCTTCCGGATGGATTTGATGGCCACCTGCGGGTGAGCACAGAGGGGGCTGTGAATTCCCAAAGGAAGAAATTCCTCCCTCCCTTATTTTGGGTCACGAACAAATCCCCACCACGCGGCTTCCCCAGGAGCTCCATGGAAACAGCTGCAGAAAAGCGAATTTATCCATTCGGGGTTTATTCTTCCCAAATCCTGCTGCTGCTCCCAAGGGACACCTGTGACACCTCCTCATTTTGGGGAGGCCCGAGCCTCCTCCCGCAGGTAGCACAGCTCGGATTTTTGGGGGTTCCTGGACCTTTATCCCACAGGTAGCACAGCCCAACTCCTCATTTTTGAGGAGTCCTGCAGGTAGCACAGATTTTTGGGGGTTCCTTGAGCTCCTTGAGTCCTCCCAGGTAGCACAGCCCCGCTCCCGATTTTTGGGCTTTGCAGGGATCGTGTCCCGCCGCTGGAGCTGGGCCAGGCGCAGGAATGTGCCCCATGACTGAGGAGATAACCACAACAACAACAACAACAACAGCAGCCAATTCCTGGCATGAGGAAAAGGGAAATAAAACCCCCACACCTCGGGTTTTGTTTGCCTCTAAACCACTTTATTTCCAAGAAGAAGAGAAAGTTTGGATGAAAAAGTAGATCCCTGCTCGGAACGGGGTGGGAGAGCCGGAGTTTTCCAGGCTTTCCTTTGGGTTTTCAAGTTTTCCTCTACAAGAAGATTGAAAAGGGAGGAGAAAGAGGGGTAAGAATAGACGCCTTCTAATCCCCTTTCAAAGGGGTTGAGGGCACACAATGCGCTCCCAGGGCTGAATTTACAACTGAATCCAGCACAACCTTTCAATTTTTTTTTTTTTTTCTTCTCCTTTTCCCCTCCCAGACAAGAATGCGGAACAGTTTTAATCCCGTCAAGGGACCCTCGCAGCAGTCGCCCGGCAACGGGGAGAGGGGCCAGGGAGCGCCCGAGGTGTGGGAGGGATGCTCAGCCCCGCGTCCCTGCCATTCCGGGGCCTCGCTCCTCAAAGCCCAGCCCAGCAGGCAGCCAAGTTTTGCTAAGCCAGGTCTGTGACACCCGTGGGAGGCAGCGGGCACCGAACCAGCGAGATCCGAGCAGGGAGAAGCTTCTGGAAGGGGGCTCAGGTGGGCACCTGAAGAGCCTTGCTGGCCCCAAATCTCATTTTTGTGGTCCCCTAATCCCATTTTTGTGGCACCGAACCACGCCAGGCAGCACCAGCCAGGCCGGGAATTGCTCCTGGAGGATCCAATACTTGCGGGAACCGGCGGACTCTGGCCCGGGGAAGTTCAATAACCCCGGCCCGAGTTTCTGCATAAAGCAATATCGAAAGTGTTTGGCTTTTCTGGGAAGCTCGGCCAGGTTTTCTTTCCCCTGACCTTTGTTTAACAGGTTACATTTTAACAATATTTTTTCGCTGCTGCTCCAGTTACCTTGAGCCTAGCAGAGCCTCCCAAATTCCTGCTGGCTTCCTCCATCCCTGCCCCCTGACACCCAGCCCAGCAGCCTCAGCATTTTGGGGCCAAAAATTCTGAGCATTTTTTGAGCATTTGCTTGCTGCCCCAGAGGGTCACACCCCCAAAATTCTGAGCCAGGGCTCAGGGCGAGAGCCACAATCCATAAAAAGATGAAACAGCTCGAGGAGATGCCCCTGGCTGTATCCAGCAGCTCTGGATCCTCACCGTGATCCCAAAATTAGTGACCTGCAGGCAGATGGAGCCATCCCATCATTCCCCAGGGGTGCCGAGCAGCGGCTTTGTTCCCAAATTTCCCCTGCCCAGGAGGGATGGGAGCAGAGCGTGTCCCCCGAGACGGGAAAGGCCACCCTGGAGCTGGGGACAGCAGCCTCGGGGACAGGCAGTGCCACAGGAGAATCCTGCAGGGAAACAGCCGGGAAATCCCTCCGGGAGCGCAGCGAGCTCGGGAGCGCTTTCCAAGTCAAAAAAGGCTTTTAATTACAATTTTTTTTTGGAGGGGGGGCAGAACAGGTATTTTCAGCAGCTGCTGAAAGATGCATGAAGCCAGAACCGCAGGCAGCGCTTCAGAAGTTGTTCCAGGCTGCCAGGGCAGCGTTTGGTGCTCGGTGAAACGCGGATTGAAATCCACCGTGGATTTCCCGGAGATCAGAGGAGGCTCTGGAATATTCCAGGTGCTGCCTCCTCCTGACACCACGCGGGCCCCCGAACCGCGTTTGTGGCACCGAGGATTGTCCCACGGGAGGTCCCCCGGCTGTGTTTGGTTTGGCTGCGGGCCAGGGATCGGGAGCCAGGCTGGGAAAAAATCCAGGCTGGGAGGAAAAGAAAGAGCCCGGAGGCTGCCCTGCAAACAGGTGGGGAAAAAAAAGGGAAGGAGAAAAGAAAGGGAAGGTGGAAATAAAAGGGAAGGGGGGAAAATTAAAGAAAAAAAAAAAAGGGAAGAAAAAAAAAATGGGAAGGAAGAAAAAATGAAAGAAAGGGAAAGGAAATAAAGAAAGGGAAAGGAAATTTTAAAAAGGGAAAGGAAAGCAACCAGCAATTCCCTCCCCACCTGTTATTGCAGGGATTTTTGTAAGGATTGGGAAAGGCACTCAGCAGGAACATCATTTCAGATAAAGGATTTCTAACAAGAAGAAAAGGGATTTTTCCCAGACTAATAATTCATGGAAGTGCCAAAGCACTGGAATTTCCTGTCACCTTCCAACCGAATCAGCCTGCTTTGGGTGCAGGTATTTTAAAATTCAGAGCGGAACAAGAAATCCGGGTGGTAAAACGAGATGGTTCAAGTGTCAGAGGCAATTCCCGATTCGCCAGAGGCAAAATCCCTGTGGATGGAGCAGCTCCAGCTTTTCAGCCCGAGCCGGTGCCGGGGGATGCCCGGTCCCTGCCCTCACACCCGCGGCTTTGGGAAGTGAAAACCACTTGGGCAAGGAGCAAACAACAGCCGAGCTCGGGATAAACCTCCAGATTAACCAGGCCCGGAAATGCTGAGCGCTCCGAGAAAGAATTTGTGGGAAGACGAGAGATTTGTGGGTTTGAGTCTCCTGTTCCTTCACCGGGCCGGGGAGGTGCTGCTGAGCAGAGCCTTTGATTTTCTGCGGCGTTGATTGAGGGCTCGGTGGCCCGTGGGTTGAATTTGCATGAAAATAAAGCCACGCCAGAGCCCGTCCTGAGGGGCTCCCGCAGAGTTTTGGGGCACAGAGCTGAGATTTCGGAGCTGCAGGTGCGGGCAGTGAAAAGAGAATTTTCTCTCGCATGAGAGGGGAGGGATCCTCGCAGCTCTGTGGGTGGAAGCTGCATTTCCAGGCCCTGATTATGCAGCAAAGCAGCGGCTCGGATGGGCTGATGGAAAAGGCAGAGCTGCCTTCGGATCTGATTTCACCGAGATTACACAAGGGAACCTCGCGGATTCGCGGCTCTTTCCCCCCTGGGATGTCGCCGATCCCATCTCAGCCCCTGGCAGGGCCCGTCCTGCCACTCGCAGGTCACCCCCAGCTCAGGCCGGGGCGCCAGGGGCTTTTTGGGTCCCTCCCACCCCTTGGAATTCACGTCCAAGGTGGAATCCTTACAGATTCCCACAGGACAGAGCAGCACCCGGGGGGTCCTGGGGTTTCAATCCCCTTTTCCCTCGAGGAAAGCTGAGCTGGGCTGAGCCAGAGCCACTTTCCCCAGCGAGCTGGGGTGAGTCAGGATTTTGGAGAGCCCGGCTGCTCTCTGGGTGCCCCACACCGTGTGAAAGCCACCAGCAAAGCCCAGCCCGCACCCGGGGTGAGAGGAAGGGAAAAACCCTTCAGCCTCAAGTGCGGTGTTTGCTTTGGCGGCCGCGTCCCCGCCCGCTCCTTCCCCCAGGAAGCGCGACCGCGGTCAAGTGGGCGAGAGGAGCTGCAGCCCCCCGGGGAGGAGGGGACGAGACCCCCCTGGGCTATCCCTGGTCCCCCCCTTGAGCCCCCGATTGCCGCACGGGCAGGGCTGCAGGCCTGGGCTGCACCGAGCCGGTACCGGAGAACCGGGGGATGTGGCGGGGACAGGGAGGGACGCACCGGAGCGGGGAATGCGGCGGGGACGAGATGCTCGGGGGTCCGTGGGGATGGCACCGGAGGGGGAGGCACCGGAGCCCGGCTGCGGAAAGCGGGGGTAGCTCAGGGACCGCCGAAACACGGCGGGGACAGGGAGGGACACACCGGAGCGGGGGATGTACCGGGGGAAGGGAAGGACACACCGGAGCGGGGGGATGCTCGGGGACCCCGCACGGTGACGATGCCCCCCCAGGAGGATCCTTACCAGCTTCCCCGAGCGCTCCCGGGCTTTCTTCACCTTCCCGTAGGTGCCTTTGCCCAACGTTTCCAGGAACTCGTAGCGGTGTTTGAGGTTGTGCTTGTGGTGGTGCCGCTTCACCGCCTGCTTCTTCATCAGCGGCCGCGGAGACTTGATCAGCCCCTCAGCCAGCGAGGCGGCCAGAGCAGAACCGGTGCCGGTTCCGGGCCCCGCCGCCCGCTCCATCGTGATCCCGATCCTAATCCCGATCCTAATCCTGATCCCGGCTCCGCCGCCGCCCGGCTCTTCCCGGCCCGGCCCGGCCGATAAATGCGGCGGCTCCGGCGGCCGCGCCTCCCCGCGCCCATTGGCGGCTGCCGTGACCGCCCCGCCGGGGCTGGCACCGCCACCGGCACCGGGGACGGAGGGGCCGGGCCGAGGGGAGACCCCACCGGCAGCACTGAACCCACGGGGAGGGGTTGGGGGAGATCCAGGGAGCATCCACAAATTTGGGGTGAGGGAGGGGGTGAGGAGAGGCGGGCAGAGGGAATCCAGGGAGGGACCAAGGGGGACGCGGGGATGTTCCAGGCTGGAGGGAGATGGGGATTTTTCAGGGGGTGCTGCAGGGAGAGATTTTCACCCCAAAAGCTGGGATGAGGCGCAAGCTCAGAGCGCTGGGAGGGACAGAGGGGCTTTGGAGAAGAGCCTGGAATGCCAGGACACAGGGAATGGCTTCACGGTGACTGAGGGCAGCGTTAGACGGGATATTGGGATGAAATTCCTCCCGTGACGGTGCTGAGGCCCTGGCACAGGGTGCCCGGAGCAGCTGTGGCTGCCCCTGGTTCTGTCCAAGGCCAGGCAGGGCATTGGGATTGGAGCAGTCTGGGGCAGTGGGAGATGTCCCTGCCTTGGCAGGGGTGGCACTGGGTGATATTTAAGGTTCCTTTCAACCCAGACCATTCCGTAATTCTATAATGTGGAGCGAATTCCATAATTTTCACACCAGGGGCTGAGGGACAGGCACAGCCAGACGCGATTGACTGCAAGGAGTCCCAGAGCACCCAAACCCAGGGAATAAACGGCATTTAGGGCAAAATCAGGGAGGGGAGAGGCCTGGGCGAGTGCAGCCTGTCCACACTGTCCACAGGGCCACCCTTTGCCCTCCTGGACACACCGCCTGGGATGGAGGAACGGGAACGTTCCCCAGGCCCGGAGCCGGGGGGGAAACGGCTGCTGAGGCTGCTCACGGCCATTCCCGGCTCCCTCAGCAGCACCTTCTCCCCGTGTGGTCTCCCTGCGGTAAATCTGCCTTTGGAGATATTAAAAGAATGCAATTATTCCCCAGAACAGCCAAAACAAAGGCGCTTGCCCAGCTCTGGCGGGTGTGGGGACAGCCCGGATCGATGGCACGGGGAGATAACCGCGGCATTACTCATCCAGACCTGGATTTTCCCTGCGCTCCCCGCAGAGCAGGGGGTCCCAAACTCCCGCCAGGGATGATTTAACTTGGCTTCTCACCGCGGGCTTGGGAGGTGACACAGAGGTGACACAGGACGGAGCTGTCAGCGCCTCGAGGCTGTGTCTCGGTGTCAGGAGATACCCAGGTGGGTGGCACTGTCCCCTGTCTGGTTTTGTCACCGGGGTGAGGTTAGAGAGTGACCTTTTGAGGACAGATGTCCCTCAGGGAAGGTGGAACCACACGTCATGGGCACAGCCTGGCACCAAAGCGCTCCCCAGGGCTGTCACCTGTCCCAGCGCGGTCCCACACACATTTAATGTCATTTTGATACAATCGGGCCACTCTCCGTGGCTGTGAGCGCTACCAGCGCGGTCCCACACGCATTAAATGCCATTTTGATATAATTAAGAGGCGCAGGTCTCTTCCCCTGCCGCTGTCACTGGTTTTTGTCGCCAGTGGCCACTGGCACCTCCGTTCCTCACAGAGACGAGCAGCTCCCGGCTCCAACCTCTCCCCGAGCCCAACAAACCAGGGACAAATCTCTCTCCTCGTTTTAAAATCAGCCCAGGACATCCGAAGACGATCCTGGGCTGCAGCAATTGCGATAATGAATTGTGATAATGGACTGTGATCAAGAGCGGCGATAATGAAGGGCGATAATGAATTGTGGTAATGAATTATTTACTCAGGAGCCGTTTCCACGGGCCACGGGGGAAGATAAACAAGGCGGAGAGGAGCTGAGCTGAACCAAAGTGCCGCAATTTCAGAGTCAAAGCAAACAGGATCCTGTCCGGGCACGGCCCAGGGATTGCGGCGGAGCCGGGCGGGGAAGGCTCCAACCTCGGTGGCTGCGGCGAACAAAGGGATTGCACCGGCCGGAGGGAAAGTGTCGCTGTCGCTGTCGGTGTCGCTGTCGCTGTCCCCCGGAGCTGTCGCAGCCGTGGGATCGCTCCCGGCTCAGTCCTCCCGTCCCTGGAGCTTTAGGCACGAGTTTAATTTCCCTGTGGATTTCTCGGGATGCTTTTCCCGACGCTTCCCCCTGTGCCGGGGAAGGCAGCGCGGTCTCGTGGAGCTTCCCTTTCTGTCTGCAGCCGTAAATTCCTCCCAGCCATGCCGTGCTCTGCCTGGGAGGGAGGCTGAGGGATGGATGTTTGTTCCAGACGGGCTCAGGAAGCCTTTCCCATTTTCATGGAAATGCCAAGGGACGCAGAGCGCTGGAATCCGCTGATAAGGATCCTCCATTGTGGCAGCACCCACGGCTTTCTCCGCTGGGGAAATCCACCGAAATTCCCCTGCCCTCGCCAGCTTCCAACCTGGAAACCCCAAACCGGGCTTGTCCCGCGGCCCCAGTGCGTGTCCACTAAAACCAGCCTGAAATCCAGCCAGGAATTTGGCTCCACGTCAGGGAAACCTGCTCCGAGCTCAGCTCCGTGCTTGTTCACAGCCGGAGCTCTGCCTGCTTGCAGGCTCCGAAATTTGTATTAATTAATTTATTACGTTAAAATCAATTCTGCAGCGTTATCCCTCCTCTGAAAACTTCCACATCCCGGCCAGAACCTGTGGCTCTGCCTTGGCATTCGGTGGCCACAGGCTCTGTTTGTGGATTGGGAAAGGAATAAACACCACGAAAGAGATTTTCTTGCAGCAGGGAGACCTCCCACGGGGAAAGGAAGAGCTCCCAGAGTCATTAAAATGCCAGAGACAACAAAAAGTTTAATGCTCGCCCCTCGTTCGTGGCGCTGCAGCCCCGGCATTCCTCACCTGCTGCCGGGGATGCTCGGGCAGATGTGAAATCCATTTTCCCTCTGGAAAATCCCGGAGGAAGCCGTGATTGCTCTGATCGTCCCCATCCATCAGCGGGAGAAGGGAAAACTCATCAGCGCCCATGGGAGCCTTTGGAAAAGTCGTTTATGGCCTTTCAGATATAATGAGAGCAGCAGAGGCCACCCCGCACCTCAGGAGTGCAGCTGGGGGTTCCATCTGTCTGTCCATCCGTCATTCCATGGATCCATCCATCCATCCATCCATCCATCCATCCATCCATCCATCCATCCAAATTTTTCTATTAAACCACTCCTCCAAGGCTCCCTTTACCACAAATCCACCCCTCAGGTGTCCCTGACACCCTCCCGGGCACATGGGGCTGCAGAAGCCCTGAGGCATTTAGAGGAAAAATGAGCAAAATTCCCCTTAAAAAAAAAAATTATTATTTTATGAGCAGGAAGCGTCTGTGTCTCAGGATGGTGACTCCACATCCGCACTGGCAGATGTCACAGGAATGGGAGCAGCCAGGGGTGACTCCAGTGCTGGTGGCCCCACAGCGTTGGGGACATCCCAGGATGAGGATGGCGGTGACAGAGGCTCTTCCCAGAGCTCCATTCCCGGCCCTCCAGAGCAGAATTCCCGGCTGGAGCTGGAACAGCGCTCACACAACCCCACGCTGGGCTCCTTCTGGGAATTGTCACCCACAAAGACCAGAGCAGACCCCAAAAAGCAGAGCTGACCCCAAAAATATTGTCCCCAAGAGCCAGGGCCAGCCCAGCCGCGTGTCCTGGGCCCATGGCAAGGCTCAGGAATCATTTCTGCTCTGCCACCGGATCCTGTGGAGGTTGTTCCTTGAGGAAGTTTCCTGTTTGTGCAGACAATGTCTGCTCCGGGAAGATAAACGAGGATTTTTGGCAGCAGGGCCAGCTCAGCTCTCAGCCCTCTGTGCTGGAGCAGCCACCGGGGCTGAAAAGCCTCTCAGAAAACTCCGAGCGTGGGGAGTTCAAGCGAGGACACGGCCGGGGCCGCTCCGGGATCTTTTTGTGGCTGGAGAACTCCAAGGTTGGGTTGGGATAAAGGGAGAGAAGCGGGCACGGAGGGTGCGGGGTCCCAGGACCAGCTCAGGGCTTCCTGCAGCCCCCCAGGGACAGGAGGGCCTGGTTTGGGACAAAGCCAACTTTTATCCAGGGAAAGAAGCCCTGTGGATCTCTCATGCCAAGGGATTCACTCGGGGAGCTGCAGCAGGACCCAGCCCAGGAGAGATTTCCTGGTCAGCAACATCAGGGACCCTTTGGACACAAACCCAGCCCTGTCCCAGCTCCTGGCAGGTGTTCGGGCTCCACGGGGATGTTTTTCCACGGGAATAAAACACTGGAGGAGACGCGCAGCATCCAAGTTATTTGTTGGACCTTGCACCACCTGAAATGGGATTTTAGAGCCCCCCCGGTCCAGCAGCACCCGGCCAGGGCAGCCCAGGACAGCGGGAGGGCTGCGGGAGGCGCGGCTCCAGCCACAGCTCAGCCCGGGGATGCCATCTGCTGTTCACAGCTCTGGGAAGAGCCCGAAACAAAGCACCCCAAACCGCTGAAACAGCGCAAAAACGCCCTGCAGGCACAGCCAGGAGCGCCTGAGCCACCCGAGCCTTAGCTCAGGTCACATCTCTGTCACCTGGGGCGTGCTGTGACAAAACCCGGGAGGCTGTGTCCTGCAGGATCCCATTTCCCAGCAGGATGCTCCTGAAGGGAAGGGCAGGAGTGAGACACAGCCCTGAGCAGGGTCAGGGGAGGGAGGTGATGGATTCTGCACGGCTCCATCGGGGAAAATCCCCCCCGAGCCGGGGGTTCCCAGGGCTCGGCAGCTCCGGGGATGTCCCAGGGTCCTGTGGGGTGATGGGAGCTTGGGGTTCATCCAAAGACAGAGACCTGGAGCTGCTTTTCCTTCCAGAGCTGCTCATTTCCCCCCCTCTGACGGCTCGGGACACTCCCAGCTCTGATTCTGTCACCCCCAGTCGCTGTCACCTCTTCTATAAATTCAATCCCAGGACGCTGCTCTGTCCGGGATTTCTGGGAGCACAAAGGGAAGGGTCAGGCTCCAGCTGCACAAAGGATCCCTCCTCGCTCTGCTCCAGCTGAGCAAAGCACCGAGCCCGGAGCCTCGGGAATCAGGAGAAAAGGAGCTGGGAAATGAGCTCCGGCTCGGTGTCCTCGGAGCTCCGCGGTGACGGGAGCGGCCCCGAATGGAGCAGGGACACGGCGGGGACACGGCGGGGACAGCGGGACCCCCTCCCGCAGCTCAGGGAGAGTTAAAGGAGGGAAGCGAGGCCTTGGGAGTGAACCCGCGATGGGATCACATCCCCGGGAGTGTCCCAGGCCAGGCTGGACGGGGCTCGGAGCAGCCTGGGATGGGGAAGGTGTCCCTTTATGGGGATCCTTTTGGATCTTTCCAACACAAATCATTCCATGATTCCATGATCCCAGCCTGCCCTGACCCCTCTCACCCACATCTGCACACCACCGCACCCCTGGCACAGCCCGGGCTCCTCCGAGGGCTTCCCAAAGACAACTTTTAATGGAATTAAAGCTGGAATTGCACCCTCACAGTTCGCACAGCCCTCCCAAAAACTGAGGAGGACAGAACCCAAGAGGAGGCAGCGGCCGGGCCGGGGTCACTTCTGCATCCCCAAAGCCACCCCCGGTCCCTGGGCTGGTGAACCACGCACAGCCCTGCATTGCTCCTTTTCCCAGTGAAGATCCCAAATCACCAAAGCAGCTAAAAAAAAGGTGGAAAACCGCGGGTTGAGGTCACCTCCACCCGACACCCGGCACAGGCAGCCCCTGTGCCAGTCCTGTCCCAGTCCTGTGCCACCAGAGAGCAGCCACAGCAATCCCTCGGGAATTCATCCTCCGGGAGCAGCCCCTGGCTCCGGCTCCTGCCGGAATTCCAAAGAAATGCCGCCGGATTTTAGGGAAAGCCTTGCTGTGGATGCAGAGAAGGATCCCCGGGTCCGGCTGTTGGAGGGTTGGAGTTTCCTTTGGGAGAAAATCCGTAGGGAGATCCCAGGATGGAGGAGGACACCACGACTGTGCCCTCTGAGCCACCATCGTCCCCTCTGGAGAGTCCCAGCGCCTCCCAAGCTGTCACCTGCGGCCGGGATGGCTGCGGGGACACAATTCCCACACGGGGATCTCCGGAGTCCTTCCCACAGGCAGGAGATTTGGGGAGCAGTTCCTGTGTCTGGGTGTTCCCACGGAGATTTGGGGAGCAGTTCCTGTGTCTGGGTGTCCCCATGGAGATGTGACAGTGGCGGGAGGGGATTCCTGGCCAGTGTGGGGGTTCCTCATGGGGGTGAGTGCCAGAATCCCTGGATGTGGCTCTGGAGGAGCTGCCAGCACTGTCCCCAGGGCCACTGCTGGGGACAGACAGGCACAGGGACCTCCTCCAGACGGGATTCTCATCCAGGCAGGTTCCAATCAAGAATCAGTGAAGCACAGGGACCTGTTCCAGGGGGAATTCTCCTCCGGGATGGTTCCAGTCAGGAATCAGAGAGACACAGGGACCTGTTCCAGGGGGAATTCTCCTCCAGGCAGGCTCCAGTCAGGAATCAGACAGGCACAGAGCCTCCACGGCCGTGCTGAGCCCCTGGCTGACGCCGCCCACGGCCAGCAGGCAATCCCGCAGGGCGATGCTGGAGCAGGCACAGCGCGGGGTGGGCATGGGGGGGAGGCTCTCCCACTTGTTCTTGTCCGGGTGGAAAGCCTCTGCCGACTCCAGCACAGTCGGCTGATTCCCTGGAAGCACAGAAGGAGGCGCTGGATGATCTGGGAAGCACCGGCGAGAATCTCTTGGCTGCTCTGTGCCCCGTCTGTTTTTGGGGTTTGTTTTCCCCGCTCCCCCCCCTCCGACCACCTGCCAGGACCGGGATTTCTCCCTTTTCTGGGATGACAATTCCCAACAATTCCCACACTTTGGAAAGGGTTCCCACAGTCCCAGAGGCTCACCCAGGCCCCCAGCCACCACAACTCTGCCTCGCAGGTAGCCGGCCACGAAGTCTGCTCGCCTTTTCTTCAGGTAGCAGGAGCGCTCCATCTTCATCCACCCACCTGGGAGGGACAGGACATGTTGGGTTTTGTGGGATCATCCAGCCCTGGAAACAGTTTGACTGCTGCACTTTGGGGTGATAAAACCCCATGGAATGGGTCGGGTTTGTCCCCAGCACGCTGTGGGATGCAGCTGCTTTGGGATTCAGGTTTTCCCGTTCCACTTGGCAATCCTGACTGGAAATCGTCCTCTAAGCTGAGCTCAGGCAGCAGCAGGTGGGAGCTCTGTGCTCTGCAAGGATGGCAGAGCCCCAAACCCAGCCCTGTGTGCCCCAAACCCCAAACCCAGCCCTGTGTGTCCCCAAATCCAGCCCTGTGTGTCCCCAAACACCAAACCCAGCCCTGTGTGCCCCAAACACCAAACCCAGCCCTGT